TTTTAAAGGCAGAGTTAATTAAATTATGTAATCAATACCCTATTTTTTCCCAGTTTCCCACATTTTCTTGTTTTATAAGTTCTCTATCAGATGCAAGTCTCAGCTTGTCTCTAAATAGTGAAGAGACAGTCTTCCTCTTCTCTTTTTATTCTGTTGCCATTTTTGTGGGAAATTAGTCATTAAGAGACTGAGAAAAGCTGAGGAAGTGGGCATAGTGATTGGATCATGCATGTGTTCAGGGTGCATCAGTTATCTCTGCTCTGCAGATGGGCTCAGAGAAGGAGATCTGTCAGAAAAGAATTTCTAGGAGATCCATCGGAGGTTTCTGACTTTGATATAGGAAGAGGCATTGATTAGAAAGAGCTGGTGTAAGGCAGATAAACTCAAAAGAAAAATGGTGTCTGGCCTTCAAGGCTTAGTGAAATTATGCCTAAAGTCTAGAACAATCAATGATGGCAGAACTTGCCTCAGCAACTAGTGGTAAATATGCTTTGGCTAAACATTCAGAAAGACGGGACTCCTGGTTGTAAGTTATTTTTCTAAGGAAGTTAAACCCATAGGGATCTTCAAGAGAAGCAGACGAATTTGTTTTAATATCAGTGCAAAGGGTCTGTAAGCCTAGAAGAGGAATCTAGAAACCCTTCAGAGAAGAGCCTTCTCTCCTCAGGGTTTCAGGGCAAGGCAGGGCCCTAGAACAGAGGCCTCGAACAGAGGGAAAGGTGATCAGAATTGCTTGGGGGAGGGGACGGAGAGGGGGATTATATATGTTGATGTGGTTTTTCAGATCGATAAGCCAGGGTACTGTATTCTTTCTTGTGATTAACTTTGTGTCACCTGTTATGCAATAGTAATAATATATTTATTAAAATTGGGACACTGTTTTTACACATGCCTAACTATGAACCATCTAAACACAGTCCTCTTTTAAACTTTTTAAAGTGTGTTCACAATGAAACCAAGAATGAATTGGAGAAGATGTTGAAATGTAACGAGGAGCACCCAGCTTATCTTGCAAGTGATGAAATAACCACAGTGCGGAAGAACCTTGAGTCCCGAGGAGTAGAAGTGGATCCAAGTTTGGTAATAAATATTGATGAAAAGTGTGAATCTGCTTCCTTAGTTTTGTTTCTTGCAGTAAAATGTTACTACTTCTAATGTGTCACTTAGATATTTCAATGCTTAATTTGACATTGATCATATGTACATTTGCTGACAATAAAAACTTATTTTAAAT